CCATCCCTGCCTCTTTGACCTGTCTGTCTCCTCTCCACCTATCTTATCCTCTATCCATCTTCTATCCGCCTCCCCCTCTCTCCCTATTTATTTCAGAACCCCCTTCCCCTCCCCCATTTCTGAAGAAGGGTCTAGGCCCGAAACGTCAGCTTTCCTGCTCCTCTGATGCTGCTTGGCCTGCTGTGTTCATCCAGCTCTACACCTTGTTATCTTAGAAACTTAATGATTTGTTAAGATCTATTGACAAGGCAGCCAACATTGTGCTGATGACAGAATTGCTTTGTCATGTAAGGAGGCTACTAGAATCACAGAGGCAGCCTCCCTTTGGCAAAAAGTTTGGTGGTGAAGGTGCATCAAAGCCCAAGATTCTATAGTTCTCCCCCAAAATAGTTCCCTCCATTCAGCAGAATCTGTAAACTTTAGAAAGCTGTCTGAATGCAGAGATAACAAGGTGCAGAGCTGGATGAACACAGCAGGCCAAGCAGCATCAGAGGAGCAGGAAGGCTGACGTTTCGGGCCTAGACCCTTCAGAAAAGGCATATTGGTTTTGAGGTACCCTGAGGCCTCCTGCCTGTCTCAGCAATGTCCAGCCTCCCCAGAACTGCTACAGAGGCTCTCAACACTCTGACTGAGTCAGAACAAGAGAGATTAATGATGTGCATTGATAATTTCTCCAAAATGGTTGAAAAGAACTGTAAAAGAAGAGGCTGAAGTTTAATGTCGAGCTTTATTTTCCCTTTAACTTGAACGCTGGAAGATGGATCAACATTTTAGCCCTGATTTGGGAAATGTAATGATGATGATGCCATTTAAATTTGCTGCCATAGTGACAGTGGGAGGTTCGTGGATAGACAGACGTATTTTCCACTGAATCATATTCATGAAGGTCTGGGAGATCAAGCCAGTTTGCCAATTCTGTTTAAAGTGTAGAGAATTGAAACAGCTGGATAATTTAGACTTACTTTAACTGGGGGTAGATTACTTGTCCTTTCCTTTCCCCTCAGGAGATTAAGTATTTACAGTCAAGGTTAGTACAAATTTATCTGGGAATTAGCATGCCCAATGTGAACAATAAACCCAGTATATTACTAAAAAACCCAATGGAAATTAGTACTTTATGTCTTTTTTCTGGTCTCTCTGACTGATGGATAGCAAAATAATATTCTGACAGGCCATATATCAGACAAAATTATGAACAAAGTTTGTTAAGTAAAACTTTTGCGAAGCAAGAGCAAATATAATTCATTTCAAAAGATTTAACACTTGAGGTACTTGGGAAAAGCAATGAAAGTTGAAGAAGCTGTAGTAATCTTTTGTCTGAGACAAAAATAATTCTTCTTACAATGAGAAATAGTAAATTCCCTCAGTTACATCTACCAAAGTGCTAGTATTTTAAAAAAGAAACTAGTGAAATGTGTAAAGATGTTAGTTTAAATGAGTGATGAAGGGGTCACTGGACCCAAAACGTTAACTCTGATTTCTCTCCACAGATGCTGCTAGACATGCTGAGCTTTTCCAGCAATTTCTGTTTTTGTTTCTGATTTACAGCATCTGCAGTTCTTCTGGTTTTTGTTTTGTTAGATTATATATCTTTTTGGCAGTAACCCCTCCATCCACAGCTGTATGCAGCTCATTAAGGATTCACATTGTTATAATCAAGTGAGGAGGGGTAGTTGACTCACCTGTTTTCATTTAAACCCCCTCTTTATTGGTCGCAATAAATACTTTATGACTTTTTAACATGCAGCTAGCTGTATCACTCATCAATTAAAATGTGGTTAATTAAATCAAACTAAAAGTGTCAATTACTAAGAGTGAAAGAAAGAGAAATTTTATTATCTGCCAACCCCAAGATAAAAAATAAGAAAAACATGAAATTAAACACAGAAACACAAACATAGTTAATAAGTTTAAAGAGACAGTATCTGGCACAGACAAGAAGAACAAAGGCTACACAGTTTAAAGGTCCTTAGAGCTCCCTAGAAGGGTAATGGAATAAGATGTTTACACTTTTGGGTTGATAACAGCAAATGTAAACAAATTAAGCCTATAGTTTTGTTTTAAGTTCAGTTCAGAAAATACCAGAGTTTTAGTTGAGAAGAATGAAGAGTACAATTCAGATACACATTCCAGTTTCTCTCCAATCAGAGCTCAGTTGAGAAAAGAATAGATTGTCTCCCAGCAGGAGTCAGTTCAGTTCAGAGCAAACCAGTCACTGCAATAGCTTGTGAGGTTCCCTAAGCCAGGAGGATTTGGGTTAGAAATCTTCAGCTTGCTAGACTTGGAAAGTTTAGTCCATCAAAACTGTTAAATGTTCATGCCATCATACAAAGAAGGGAATCATAAAATAGTCTTTATTGTTCAAGAAAGAGAAAGTGGAAGCAGTCAGTTAGGTAGAAACATACAGGGCAGAATCTTCTCAGACACTGAATAATATTGGCAATGGCGAAACGGTTGAAAAGAAATTGTAAGATCGGAAAATAAGATTCTTATGGTGAGAAAAAAATGTTAATTTTCTACCTGAGGTTTTAACAGTGAGAGGGGAATCTCACTAATTAGTAGCAAGGGGCCTATTTGTATGCATTTCCATCTCAATTCTACTTATTGTTGCCTTACTTATATGCAATTTGCCATTCTCCCATGCAGCAGGAAAATGAAACCCATCTTCAGGAAATCAATATTCTGTTCAACAATGGTCCTAGTGGATGCATGGACAGCATTGTAGCCTTGTTCAGTATCAGTCTGAGGGTTGGCCTGTGGGGTCATTAGCCATATCTGCTTTATCACCTATGCATCAGCCTTGGAGATTGTACAGGAGAGCAAACATTCACCGTATGTAACTGTCAGTGACAGTTCTCTGGAGGGAGTGCACCCACAAGAATTGCTGACACTGATCACATACGAGCAGGACATTGAATAAGTGAAAACCCTTCTTGTTTAGGAATCTGGTTGGATGATGCCAGGTAGTCTGCGCACCATTTGCATCCGGTCGATGGCAGAAATATTGAGGGAGCCAGTGGTAATGTTGAGAATGATGAAGAAGCCAGAGCAGTATTGAGATAAGGCAGAAAGAGCCAAAGGAATCTGATAGCAGCTAGATTTGGGGCGAATTACTTTGTATAAACGTATGTGAATAATCATAACTATGAGCCAATTATAATACAGAGGTGTTCCTGCTCTCACAGAAACACTTGCTTTACATCTTTTAAATGTTTTCCATTAATCATAAGTTAATTTGTTCCTGTTGGCCCAATCACTTCCTGTTCAGTAACCTGGCTATGTCAGGTGTTTTAATTTGAATTTAACAAAGAAGTCTGTAATTCAAAACTAGACTAATGGCCAGATTATGGGAGGTGATGGCCTAGTGGTATAATCGCTGGACTGTTAATCCAGAGACACAGATAGCATTCTGGGGACCCAGGTTGAAACCCATTGTGTCAACAGGGCTTAAACAACTTGTTTTCATTTCCTCTAAATGTCCTTGAAACTTGTATCACGAGCTGATTAGACTTCTGTTTGCAGACTTAAATCAATATTTTATGAATAATTAATAACTGACTCCAAATACTTTTACAACCTTGCTAATATGAATAATTATTTATTGTGTGCAGTAAAATTTCACCTTTCCAAGTGTTTGGTTTTAAAATTATTTTCATTTACCTTCATCTGCCATTTTAGTCCATTTATTCAGATGATCCAGAGTGCTTTGACTGCTACCAAACCCATTTGCACAAGCGACAGGTATGGGCATAAAAGTCAGAGAGAGAGAGCAAGGAGGCTGATAGATTTGTGTTTTAGCTTTAGGGTGTCCACTGATCTTCTGCTGAAGTTATGGCTGGTGATCGGGATAACCCGATACAAGTTTAGTGTTATAGTTGTTAGCATACAAGGGACATAAACATACGTAGTTCTTTGATTTAAAATGTCAAAAATGGAAGGGGAGAAGATTTCTATTCCACACTATCCATAGATGGTTTCTTTCAAAATATTAGCTCATTATAAACATTTTGTAACCAAAATAAGCAGCACTTTATACAAACACAAGCACAATAAACCATTTCTATTTTAGGTTTTGAGGATTACAATTAGCATATGGTATGAGTCATTATGTTCTTAGCAGCTACATTTGACTTGAGATTCTATTATAGTAAGCAGTTTGCTCAGTACAATGAAGTTCTATGCCCTGTATTAGGACGTCACATTATGTATTTTCATTGTGGCTAATCACAATCATTTATTTGTCCCAATCTCCATGTGATGGAAGAGCAAAATAAGGAAAATATTGTACTTTCACTTTCTCACAGAATAAGATAATGATTGGCAGGGTAGGCATTTTTAATCAACCTATCCAGTCACGTTATGACACAACTCTGGAGCAGATGGGACTTCTGGTCCAAAACTAGTGAAATCACCACAACACCACAACAGCCCTGATTGATAACGCACACTAGCTTTAAGCTTCTTTACTGTGAATATGCCATGATACATGCTGACTTTGATATGCAGAGACAATAAGTGGGAAGCTGGTTTGTTGTCATGTTGGCATGTATCCCACAATGAGATCTTAATCTTCATCGTGCCATTGCAATAAAATTATAAGTAAAAGTCACACATTTTCTGCAATGAAGATTTACAAAAAGTAAGTGCAAACTCTTATCAGTTCTTCACGCTAAATAAGAAACAGCAGTTTACTTTTCTAAATCATACTGATCAGGAGGATAAGCTATCTAACCCAATGAGAAGCTAACGGGCAAGGCAAGATGAGGTAGAAGATAATTCCCTGGCTGATTGAAGGAACAGCTTTCATCTTTCAAGGACAAAAAAGGTTAAAAAAAAGTTTGAGGGAACGATGAACAACATAAATGAAGAAACATGAAAAAAACTTCATTTTGTCATGACTATCAAGGATTAAAGAACTGAAAAATGCAGTTCGAAAGCAAATCTAGCATGCTATAGGCAGCTTTATTGTATTGGGTATTTTTAATTGTTATTGCACTTACCCTCATTGGTGTTTGTTTCCTTGCTGTCCAAGGACATTGCTTCCTCCAGTTCTCCTCTAACCTTACAATCCAGATTACTTAAAGAACTGTCTGAAGGACTTTGAGACTGCTGATTTGAAGCTGGAGAGAGTGAACCTCTACCTCTCAGTTCCTGTAAAATTGTAAAGGCAAAAACTGTCACACTAACAGTTATTTGGAAACATCTGTGGTTTTCCTCTTACACTTATCATTGAGTTCAACACCATTTATCAGCTGTCATTAAAATAGGCAGACAGAAAAGCACAGAGCATACCACATAAGTTTCAGAATGCAAATGTCTTACAGACAAGTTCCTTAGTACATGTTTCTGCTGATCAGTTACAGGTTTTTATAAAGCAGGAAGAATGACATCATTGAATAAACAATAGGTAGTGAGTGCTGTGTAGAAAGCAAAAGCCATTATTTCATTTATCATTCATAGTAAGCTAATTTAGTTAATTCAAAACTATAAATCGTAATTCATTGTCAAGGACCTTTCCAGAGTGTACTCCAACTGAATTCAGCTCTTCAAAAATGTTGTGCTGTTTTATATTTAACCTTGTGCCATGTCAGATGTGGAGCTTGCAAATAAACACAAAAGCGCACATTGTACAGTTTGAATTGAAATGTTGAAGCAGCCCGTTCCCAGTTGTTTTTATTAACTTACCCTGCTTAGCCTGAAAAACTGGCACACAGTTGTTAAAGGAAAGTTGTGTCTAACTAACTTGCTTGAGTTTTGTTGTGAGGTGATTGTTGTTTCAGTACAGTTGATGTGGTTTATATAGGACCCAAATGACATTTGATAAAGTGCCACATAACATACTTGTCAGCTAAGTTAAAGCCCATGGGGAGAAAGGACAGTATTAGCAAAGTTGTCTGAGTTGAGAGGAGTGGTGAGTGGCTGTTTTTCGGATGGGGTGTATACATATAGTGGTGTTCCCCAAGGATCAGTATCAGCACACTGCTTTTCATGATCACTTTTAATGACTTTGACTTGGGTCTACAAGGCCTAACTTCAAAATTTGCAGAGGAGGTATTGTGAACTATGAGGATGATGATGATAGACTTGAACATGACACAGATAGGTTGGTGAAAAGACGCATGGAAGATACACCTGGCTGGGAAGAACAAGGGAGAGGTGATAAGAGTATAATTCTAAACTAGCTTGGAGGTCAAAAGCAATCAAGTTATATTGAAACTTTGTGAAACTTTGGTTCAGTCTGAACTGAAATATTGTGTCCAAGTCTGGCAGGATAAGAAGATTTAGCAATGCTGCTGATAAGATTTACATGAAAAGCACTAGAAAATTCACTTATATCGATAGACTGGACTAATCTATCTTTAGAGAATACGAGATTAACAGGAGATTTGGTAGAAGTGTTTAAAAATTATGTGGGGTTCTAGACAGAGTCAATTAGAAAAACTATTCACCTTTGTCCAAGGATTGAGAAGCAGAGGACACAGTTTTAAACTGTTTGGCAAAAGAACTGAAGGTGATATATTTAAATAACTCAAGTGTTTGCCTGACAGCATGGTAGAAGCAGATTTAGTCATTGTTTTCAAAAGGAAATTAGATAAGCACCTGAAGGGGAAAAAAACTTGTAAGACTACTGGGAGTTGGCTCCAATTTGATGAACTGTTGGCCTCCTTCTTTCCTTAACTGTTCTATGCGCTTAATTTTACACTGGTGTAAGATTTCATTTCATCAGCTCACCCTGAAATCAGTTAACAGCCATCCAGTCATGCTAAATGGACCAAATGAGCACATACCATGAAGATAGAATTAGATTGACTGACTCCAGGGCCCACTTTTTGAAATAAATCAAAAGTGTACCTAACAGTTTGAATACAGTCAATTGTATTTAAGCTCAGTAAACCATAATGCCTGTATGCACAATGGAAATTACACTTTATCTCCCTATTCTACTTGCTACATGTTCTCTCTTGGGAGTGTCCTTATTTGGTATCCTATCCACATTGTATGGAGGTAGAAATGCAGAATACACCAAGACCACTCCTGGCCCGATACAAATGAAATTCTGGATCAACAGCAATTTTCTGAAGATGAAGATGAGGCCGATGATCAGAACATCTATCAGGTGGGTGTTCTAAGACAGCATGACAGAGTAAAGCATTATAGAACTCAACATGCCAGAAATAACATCATAGCCATCCCTTGCAGAATGAATGAGCTAGGTTTAGACTTCATTTAATTGATTTGATTATGTTGTTTATCTGGTGGACTGGTTAGCAAGGTTAAATTACATGGAATACAGGGAGAGCTATCTGTTTGGATGCAAAATTGACTTGAAGGTAGGCGACAGAGAATGGTGGTAGAGGTTTGTTTTTTGAACTGGAGGCCTGTGACCAGCAGTGTGCCACAAGGATTGGTGCTGGGTCCACTGCTTTTTGTCATTTACATAAATGATTTAGATGTGAATATAGAAGGTTTGTTTTTTAGTTTACAGATGCCACCATAATTGATAGTGTAGTGGACAGCAAAGAAGGTTACCTCAGAATACAAATGGATTTTGATCAGATGGGCAAATGGGCCAAGGAGTGGCAGATGGAGTTTAATTTAGATAAATATGAAGTGCTGCAATTTGTTGGGGCGAGTCAGGGCAGGACTTATACACTGAACAGTAAGGTCCTGGGGAATGTTGCCGAACAAGGAGACCTTGTGGTGCAGGTTCATAGGTCCTTGAAAGTGAAGTCACTTGTAGACAGGGTGGTGAAGAAGGTGTTTGGTACACTTGCCTTTATTGGTCAGTGCATTGAGTATAGAAGTTGAGATTTGATTCAATTTGATTTATTGTTGTCACATGCATCAAAGAACAATGAGAAATTTTGTTTTGCATGCAGTACAGGCATATCATAACATACATGGACACACAAGGACACACAGATCATAGAGTGATTGAATAGAGCAAACCATACAAAGTTACGATTGCACACAAGGTGTACAAAAGCAAGATCAGCATTAGATTTGAAGTTTGAGAGGTCCATTCAGCAGTCTAATAACAGCAGGGAAGAAGCTGTTCTTGAACCTGTTGGTACGTGTGTTTAAGCTTTTGTATCTTCTGGTGGGAGGGGTTGGTCATTTTGCAGCTGTACAGGATATTGGTTAGACCACTTTTGGAATACTATGTTCAACTCTGGTCTCCTTGCTATAGAAAAGATGTTGTGAAACTTAAAATGGCTAAGAAAAGATTTATGAGGATGTTGCCAGGGTTGGAGCGCTTGAGGTTTAGGGAGAGGTTTAATAGGCTGGGGCTATTTTCCCTAGCACGTCAAAGGCTGAGTTACAGAAGTTTATAAAATCATGAGTAATGTGGATAGGGTGAACAGCCAAGGTCATGTCCCCAGGGTAGGGGAGTCCAAAACTAGAGGGCATAGGCTTAAGGTAATAGAGAGGGTAAAGATTTACAAGTGACCTAAGGGGCAACTTTTTCACACAGAGGGTGGTGCGGGTATAGAATAAACTGCCAGAGGAGGTGGTGGAGGCTGATACAATTGCAACATTTGAAAGGATGGGTACATGAACAGGAAAGGTTTAAAGGGAAATGGACCAAATGCTGGCAAATGGGACTAAATTTATTTAGGATATCTGGTTGGAATGGACGAGTTGGATCGATGGGTTGTTTATGTGCTGTATGTCTCTTTAACTCTATGACTCTACGGTAAGCAGTCCCCGCTTAGAGCAAAGGATATGTGAACCTAGTTATTACTGCAGTCCTTGACCTTTAGTGTTTCTGAATAAATGTTGCATTATCCATGTGATTGTGTGCATGATATTTTCATGTGATCCCACTTCCAAATGTCCATGCATATCTTGGCCTCCATGACCATTAGGAAAAGAGCAGTAGATAGTGAGAGAATGCCCTAAATTTGCATGGCACGAAGATAAGATAGTTCTTAATGTGTCTGCCAGGATATGACATGTGAGAGATGGGTAGTGAAGTTCTTCAATATTGCCATCAAGTTGAGACAAATCCCGAGGAATCTACTTATGATCCTTCCATCATTGGTAACTCATTAATGGTTCAGAGTGTGCATATGCTGTTAAATTGCCTTGAAATGCTTGTTGAACCTATGAGTGGCATTGCTTTGTGCAGCTTTTCACGGTAAACCAGTACAACACGATGGAGATGGGCATCTTTCCATTGTACTGCTTCCAGCCTGTGTGCACTCCCTTGATAAAATGCTAAACAGAATGGAACTTTCCTGCCAGAAACGTGTGGAATCATCACTGATTCTGTACTCTCACTCCCAAGATGCATTTAAATGTGGAATGATATGATAGCAGGGCAGGCTCATGATAATGCCTGCACATTGCAGTTAGCCTCACTGAGGTACAGAATCTTGGCTACAGTCCTCACCATCACATTTCAAGGATCTGTGACATTTGAGGCTATCTGCAGTCAAGGAGTCAGTTGATATTAAGAAATGAGCAATGCTAGGCCATTACAACTTCTTTATCCTTGGGATATCTGAAAAGGCTCCTCATCTCTCACTTGGGTACAACTCAATCGGGACCAGCAAAAATGATATTACACATCATAAGACAATAAGGCGAAGGAGCAGAATTAACTCATTTGGCTCATCGAGTCTGCTCCGCCATTCAATCATTGTTAAACTCCATTCTCCTGTCTTCTCCCCATAACCTTTGATCTCTTTACTAATCAAGAATTTATCTAAATCTGTCTTAAATACACTCAATGCCTTGACATCTGCAGACCTGTGCGGCAACAAGTTCCACAGATTAACCATCATCTGGCTGAAGAAATTCCTCCTCATCTCAGTTTTAAAGGTTTGATTGACCCTTCACTCTGAGGCTGTCTCTCCTACTAGTGGAAACATCTTCTCAATGTCCACTCTACCCAGGTCTCTCGGTATTCTCTAAGTTTCAATCAAATTCTCCCTCATCCTTCTAAACACCATCAAATACAGAAACAGAGTACTCAACCACTCCTTATATGGCAAGCCCTTCAACCTGGGATCATTCTTGTGAACCTCCAAGGCCAGTACAACCTTCCTTTGATATGGTGCCCAAAACTTCTCAAAGTATTCCAAATGCAGTCTGACCAGAGCCTTATACAGGCTGAGCAGTATACCTTTGCTGTTGTATTCTAA